CAAAATAGCTGTCTACATGTTAGTCATACCACTTGCATATAATATATTAAAATAATATATTAATAACAAATATAACATTTAACATAAAATAAAAATTGGTTATAAAAAAATCTAATCCAATAAAAAGAAATTAAAATAATGAAAAATAAACATTTAAAATGAAACTGCATCACTATTTTTTAGGAAATAATATTGTCGATATCAATATTAAGAAATAAAAGGACATTAGAAGTTGGACTGACTGTCAGGCACAGCCAAAAGTGAGTTTTGATTTAGATCTGTGCTGACCTGAGTCGCAAACTGTTTCAGATAGTCTAGTATGATTTGGTGAACTAGTTCATCCAGTTCACTAAAAAGAACTGGTTCAAAGTAACGATTCATTTGCGAACCGGACAACACTACTAGGAACTGTGGAGTTAGATCTATGAACTCAGCGCAGCCGAGACGTGATTTTTAAATTGCACAATAAACTACAACCACTAAGTAAAATAGCAGTGTGTCATCGATTAACCTCACACACAAACCAAGCACACAACAAACTCTCACTTCACAAAAACTATATTACATATGTGCTACTATGCAAAATGTATTCATTGCACAGATCGATTTTTTGTTTTTGTTTTAATAGCATGTTCTCACTGACCAGTTTGTGCTCAAAAATCCTCTTCATGACCACAGATTTGATACATTACCACTTGTTTTTACTCTTCTCAGGGTATGAGGGTGTCCCAGAGTTCTTCAATGATCTCCTCAACCACATCATCAGTGTCCTCCAAGACCACTCCTCCAGTGACCCCTCTGCCCCGCCCCCTTTAGGCGCAGGAGAGTGCAACCGCGCCCCGTCCCAGGAGTGCTGCGGCATGCTCGGCAAAGAGTCGGACGGCAGCCCCTGGATCGTGGAGGGCGACGGTGGTCTGAAAGGCCCACGTCAGAGACTGGGCTGCAACTCGGCCATGTCCCCCAACTTCCAACAGCACTGCGTGTCCACGATAGCCACTAAAGCCTCGTCACAATAACTGCCGTGTCCCCATGCACCCCTCGTCCCGCCGTCCTTCCCTGAACAAATCAATTTTTTGCAGTGAGTGAAAGTTATTACATATTTTCCCTACATTTTGAATAATTTAGTGTATTTATCTTAATATTATTCAACATCAAGTATTTTTTGAGAGCCATAACATGTTTTCTTGGGGTCATGCAATTTGACATCATGTCCAAGACCACTCCTCCAGTGACCCCTCTGCCCCGCCCCCTTTAGGCGCAGGAGAGTGCAACCGCGCCCCGTCCCAGGAGTGCTGCGGCATGCTCGGCAAAGAGTCGGACGGCAGCCCCTGGATCGTGGAGGGCGACGGTGGTCTGAAAGGCCCACGTCAGAGACTGGGCTGCAACTCGGCCATGTCCCCCAACTTCCAACAGCACTGCGTGTCCACGATAGCCACTAAAGCCTCGTCACAATAACTGCCGTGTCCCCATGCACCCCTCGTCCCGCCGTCCTTCCCTGAACAAATTGTGAAGACAAACTGAATAGTATACATTAACAATAATAACTATTATACTGATGATATATCTGTAATCAAAAATAAACTATATTGGGAATAATCATAATGATGTTGATAATGGGCATTGGATTCTATCTCCTAAGCCTTTGTATACGTTTTATTTTTTCATTTTCTTTCTCTTCAGTCTAACAACTCAGTACTGTAATGCGAACTTTCGGGAAATCAACAGTGATCAGCAGCTATTTTATTATTTTTAAAAAAATCATTTTTAATTTGAATCACAGTGGATGTTAATTAATTGAACACGCTAGGCATGTTGGATATCTACGCTGGAAAAGGTTCTGAAGTTTGTCTTTTGTTGCTGATGGAAAAAACTAACAGTTGTGTGTGTTTTTAATGACACAGAACCCAAACACACCCAAGAATCTAACAGACAGGACACCTTAAATGTCTTTGTGCTCTGTATTTAGTGGAAATCCTATATTGTGAGGATCCATGTTGTTGTGCAGCGCCTATAGATCTGCTCCGTAAGACAAACGAAAGCCCGGCGTGCAGCTCTTGTAGGCCGTGTGCCACTGTGTTTGATCTTGTGACACTCCGTAATCTTTTCATAATGTTCCAGAAGACTTTCATCATCCTTCTGTAAACATTGTGACACCTGACATTTTTCATGTGCATTTCAATGCATCATATCATAAAGTGTTATATGAAGTTGGGAGAAAACCGAATGATGAAGTTCCAGGTGAACTGTCAAGTATCATTAATGTTTTGATCGTTGTTTTGAAGAGGCTAAAATTCTACTATTCTAAAATTCTTCTTATAAAAACGGATAGTTCCGGTCCTTGATTCTGATTGGCTGAGCCACGTTCGAAGCTGTCGTAAATTACTTTACAAACATACACCTTTGTTTACGTTTGTCTGTTGCTTGGCAACAATGCCTCTTAGCTGTTATATATACACTGTAAACCACGGCTTATTGCTTTATAAATCTACGTTGTTTTTTTTTGTCAATGTTGAGTTTGGTTGGACGGTTGCAAGAGGATATTCTGACATTCCTTATACGCGTGTGTTGTTTTTTAGCGGACAGTCCTATAAAAGTTCTAATGTTTTGTATATGATCCAGTTTTGAAAGTCATATTTATGACTCCGCTTCAGATTAGTACAGAACAAACTGCATAAGATGGATGTTAATGTATATGTTGGGAGTATTTTGTCTTGTTCTAATTGCAAAGAACACATCTCTTCCACAGAGAGTTCAGCGCTTTGATTCTTGGTTACCATTCCTTGGTAAAAAAACAAAACAAAGACATATATATTAGATTTGTGCAATTTGACATATTATAAATGGAATAATTGCTAACTTGTCTGAAAATTACTAATGAATACAAAGTATTTGTTTTATACATCACATTGTTAGTGAAGCATTGCGTTTGGTTGCTGATTTAAATTAATTTCTAAATTGGTTTAGCACTAATATCAATGTACTTAAAACCATCTGAACAATTGAGCAGTAATTTATACATTTAATTCAAATGTAATAAAGCCAAAAAGGGATTTGAAGCTTTTTAGGTTCTCTTTTGGAAACTTGTTTGCATATATTGTATTGAAAGCCTTGGACATCCCACAGCAGCTTTTTTTTGTAGAATTACAAAAATGATCATCTTATTTGTATTCATGTTTATAAAAGAAATTTCGCCCACTTAGTGGCCATAAAGTGACTTGGATTACTCCTACACGTTTGAAGACCAACAGAAAACAGCTTGTTTTTGTTCACTGTGAGAGGAATGAATGTGTGGAGATATTTGACAAACAATGTCTTAATGTGGTAAACCAGAGCGGTGTGAATGGACTGCTGTCATCAGCATCTGCTCCCGTTTTGTTCAGTTTATATGAAGTGAACATTTATGCCACTCCACTGGCCCTTAGCACCTTATGTTAATGCTTTTCTTGTTCTTATGGGGTCCATTTTTTGAGATGAATATTTTCATAGGTACACCAATATCCTTTTCTATAATAACTCCCTCCATTGTTATGGAATACAAATTAAATGGTCATTATCATTTAGATGCCGTTTCGAAGAATATGAGCCATGTTGACTTCAACAACAATTCGATTTTTTTTATTTTTATTTTTTTTATTGGACGTGTAGCCTCTTGCTTGGCATGGGTATTTATATCAGGAGTGTTGGAATATGTTTATATGATTAATGGGGAGTGTGTTCAGATTAAGTTTGCATTTTGTATATCCTAAAAATGCTCCAAGTCTGAGTCCTTTGAGAGTTTGAGAGAATGACACAGACTTCAACACAGCTTTACCTTTTGACTGTGTACGTTTGCCTTCATTGTGCTATCAAATAGAAAATCTCCACACCTACTAAATTTTCTGTGTCTATCATTTGTAATTGTTTTCAGATCTTATATAAGGCTCCCCTTACTTACATATTCATACACCAGGGCCAAAAACCATAAGGACCATGGGTTAGCATCTCTGGTTACTTCAGTATCAGAATGTGACTCAGTGCTTGACTTTTTGAAAGGGCCATTATACACTATTCATGCATATCATGCGGCCATGCCAGAAGTTCCCTATTATTAAGTTATCAGCACATGTACTCACTTTCATGTTACTCCAGACCTTAGAATTACTTTCTCCCATGGATCATATGAGTCAGGTGGACATTGAGTCACGTTACTGTTTGAAAGTAGTTTAACTTTGAAAAACGTGTCTGGAAAGAAGACAGGGTTATTATAGTTAACTAAAACTGAGTCTGAAAACATACTTGAAATAGAATATAAAAACACTCAATATATCAATAACATGATGTACTAAAACTACTAAAACTGCAAAAAAAATTATAAATAAACAAAAAAAACTAAAATGACAAAAAACACAAAATTACTAAAATTGGCGCAGAACTAAAAAATATAGAAATTATATAGACATTGAATTTATTTAAATGAAATAATTTAAACTATATAAACATTTAAATGAATAAAAATAACAACAAAATTACTAGTTTTAAAATTAAAAAGGAAAATATTCAAAATATGGATGAAAACAATAATAGTACACCAATGATACTAAAATAACATTGACGTGAGAAAACTTGAAAAATTATAAGACTTTTTTTATTTTATTTACATCTATTAAACACAAAGTAGATTATTATCTAGTCCCGTTTTCTGTCGTTAACAGAAGCATTTTTGTAAGCTACTTTTATAAAGGTCAGAAACAGTTCAGACCTCACAGAGTTAATCTAGTGTACTGTAGTAGGCCTACGACAAAAGCCATTAAACTGCCGTTTGTCCTAAATGAGCAGGCCATATAGAGCATAGACAATTTACGCCTTCCTTCTCCTGCTCGCCATTGGTCCACACATTTTCATTCAACTCATCCTCACGACCTGATTGGCCAGACTTTCTGTCAATCACTACCGCCGCTCATGATTGGCCGGTCCCAGTTAACTAATGCGAAAAATCCATGTTCTCAGGTTTTGACATGTCACTAGAGCAAAGTCACCCGTCCGATCAGAAGTAGAGAGAGTCGCTTCATGCTTCGCACATGTCACAAGTAGTACAAGCCAGACTCCAAAGCCGATTTACATCGTCTGAACAAAACAAAGCATTTGCCCTAACATTATGCAAACCGTCTAAAGTTGTGCACTTCACTTGAATTGAAACATGTCGTCGATCCGTTTGTCTTTGGCCGGACGAAGCTGCGCTGACAGCGGACTGAGCGGATAAACGAGACTGAATGTGACGGCTCGTCGCGTCGGTGAATGAAGAAGCACCAGCCGTTCGCTTCGAAGCAAAACACGTCCGAACATGGCTGACAGAACAGCTCCGAACTGTCATCTACGACTCGAGTGGGTTTACGGCTACCGGGGACACCAGTGCCGCAACAACCTGTACTACACGGCCGCCAAGGAGATCGTGTACTTTGTCGCCGGCGTCGGAGTTGTGTACAACACACGGGAACACAAGCAGAAATTTTATTTGGGACATAACGATGACATAATCAGGTAGGCACATTCACGTGGATGTTTTTAAGGAAATCCATACATTATTATTATTATTAGGCTAATGTTAGTATTATTTTACCAAATGCATGCCAACTTAGTAATAGTGAACTCAGTGGTGCTGATGCATTCAAGCCAGTATCAGGCTACTTATATAAGACGTCGCTGTATATTTAATCGCAAGAAAGTGGAGAGAGATGGAGGTGGAAGTTGCTCCGCTGAGGCGCTGTCCAGCACGCCAGGCTGCTGAAGCTGAAGGTGATCTCTGTCACGCTAAGCGATCGCCCGATCACCTTCACGACAGCGCCTCAGCGGAGCAGCTTACCGGGCAGGACGCGTTCTTCGTGCATTCTGTCAATGCTATCTTTTAATTGTTTTAGTCCATGTACATATGCGTCAGGCGGACGTTTGCGTCGCGTCGCGTCTCGCTGCAAGTTAAAAGTAGTTCAACTTTGAAATGCGCGTCTGGAGTCATCTGCTTTCTCTAAGCATCGCTTTGCTCTCCGTCTGGTGGTTTTTTCAACGCAAAACGCGTCCTTTGTAAACGGCCACTTATAAATCCCTCACAAATCGCAAAGTGATGGGCTGTTTGTAAAGGTGCGGTCACATTTACCGTCATTTCAATAGGAATCCACGCGAACGGGAATTTTCGCAGCAGAAATCGGTTTGGTTTGAAAGTGACTTCTGTGTGAGCTGTGCTTCATTCTTCGCTACACTGTTGACAATAGATATACTTTTCTCAATAGGCCTACTTCGAATATATTGTTGAATTTTCCCTCAAACATATAAATAACATTCCTCAAGCACAATACTGAGCAGGCTGTACAGAAAAGGGTGTGTTTGAACCGCGGTTCCAAGAGTGATAATATTTAGTATAACGGCACTGGAGCCTTTCCTCTTACGTGTTTCAGAGCTGGTTTCTCTCACTAGTGTGCAAGGAGTGTGAAATGGAAAACCCGCAGTGGATCTTTAGGAGTGACTGCAGAACAGTATCAGCTTTGTCACTCCGCTCCACTCATCTGTGAATTTCCAGCCGGCCTTTACTCTGTACTTTGCCATGCTTTTATTCTGATCTCAGGGAAATCATATTTTTTTTCGTGGCGATTTTGCATGAATTTACATAATACAAAAGCATACTATTTTAAAATATATATATATATATATAAAAAAAAAAGATTTTAAATTCTTATCATTTTAC